GAAAAAAAAAAAAAAAAAAAGAAGCAGCAGATTGGTCACCGCTTCTTCCAAGGTTGGTAGATTGGTCAGTCCTCCCGAGATGCACACAGATCTAATTTTATGACGCCTCAGTCACACCACTTCCGCCTGACCACTCTTCAAAAAATTTAAAGGTAACTGTTATTAAGGATCCAAAAGTTAACAAAAAGGTTTCCCAGAAGGGAAAACAATTCTGATTTTTTGGTCTCACTCTACAGGCAACCCTTGAATGGATCTGGTTACTCTGAGCTGGCGGAGTGGCATTTCAGCAAGCACCTGACCTCAGCTGCACATAGTGGACTGATGACCACAGAGTCGGGAATGTTCTACTTCTGTTTACGCAGCCCAGGATCCTAACTTGTCCTAACAGAGGACAGATACATACTAATCATTACAGCCACATTTGACTTAGATAAAATTTAAGTGGCGGGCGGGCAGCTGGTAGGCACACAGAAGAAGTAGATGAGATTTCAGCTTTAAAAGATTTTTAGCTCAGAGGCCTTGCCACCAACTTCTGTACCAACATGGAGGAGCAGGGCCTCCACGGATATGTGCCTTTTGAGCTCCACGCTGCCTATTTTGCTGGCTCACAGGACGAGTCCTATGGTGCTCTCCTATCCTCTTTTCAATTGGGCCTTCAGAAATCAGGTGTCTGATTATCATGCAGTCAGTAAGGTGACCAAACAAGGACAAGAGGCAGTGCTGGCATTGCCGCTGGAGAAAACTGCTGATGGCTACCATGTTTCACAGGGGCACCTCTCTCTCCTTCCCCTTTTCTCCACCTTCTTCTCCTCCCTCCGTGCCTGTTTCTACTTCCCCACTCTTCCTCTTCTCCTCTGCACATGCCATCCTGACTGTTCCATCCATTCCTTGCCTGCCTATGCACGGGCAAGAAAGTAAGGAGAGAGCAGAATACTGCACAGTAAAGGGGACAGGGTGTGCTCTCTACGTCGGCAAAGAAGGAAACCCCCAAAGCTTCTCATAGCAGTTTAATTCCCTAGATAGCTCTAATTTGTTTTCGTCAGGTTTTTCATGCCATTAAAGGCCATGTTTTTCTATGTAAACCTGTTTACATAGAAAAAGCTCAGAGTTTAATAGCCGTGGCTGTGCTCCTGGTCTGGGGTAAGCAACGTCCTAATTGAACACACACAAAACAAACCAGCTTATGCCTGGAGTGTTTTTCCCACCCGCTGTCCATAGGGATGTGATAGGAAGTGGAGTCTAAGGATGTTCAGTGAGAGATGATCACAAATTCAGTCACTCATCTTTTGACCTTTAAGAAAAAAAATAAAATGCACTTGAATATTATCCCATTTCCTCACCTGTTTGGCCAGAATCCTTGCAGTTAGCCTTACAGTCTCTGATGGATTCCAACTTTCCCCAAAAACGACCATGGGAGAACATTCCAACTTGTGCATGGGCCAATCTTCTTTCTGGGAAGATTAAAAAAAAAAACACCAAAAAACTGTTTAAAAAAACTACACACACTGGAATAAAGTGCGAGAAGAGAGGATGCAGTAAGCCCCCTAGTTAAGGTCAAGTGAAATGTGTTTCCTTTTGGAAAACACAAGGATGCTCACAAAAGCTAGAAATAAAATATCTTTTT